TATAGGATCCCAGAATAATTCAGGCTGTAGGGGACCTCAGGAGGTCTCCAGTCCAACCTCCTGCTCAAGGCAGGGTCGGCCATAAGATCAGACCAGGCTGCTCAGGGATTTATCCAGCTGGGGCTTGAAAACCTTTGTGGATGGAGACTAAAGAACCTCTCTGGGCAACCTTATCGACTGCTTCACTGTCCTCAGGGTAAAAAAGTGTCTGACTTACTAGATGTTTTTTCACTTCTGACTTTCTTGATCTTTTTCAGTTTAGCAGTAGGATGTTGTTTGCAGCATGGCTTCGCCTCAGCAGTGGAATGGAGGTTCTCTAGATTCCTAGCTTGTTTACCCCCTTGGATCTCTACGGGAAGGACATGAGGAATTGAAGTACAGCTTTTTTTCACATGTTCAGTTGAAACATAGACATTCTTTTTTAACAAGTGGCCTAAGTTCATTGGAGATTAGGATGGTTTGGAAGGTGGGATTTGCAAATCAGGTTACAATCAGTTCATTTCATTCAAGGTAAAAGTAGTGTGGAATGTTCTGACTAATGGGGAAAAAATGATGTTGAATGAGGTAGTGGGAGTACAGGGGATGATAGCCAGGTGCCTTCCCAGGCACTAATTTATACCCAGCTGCACTTACTGACTCAGGCACCACAGTGCTTAGAAATAACTACGCTATATGTAGCTCTCTCTTTTATGCTACTGCAAGACAAGAATACTGTACTGAGAGAGGCACAATCAGGCCGGTGGTCAGGAAACCAATGGGTGCATAATGCAAACTAGCAGCCGGCTGAAGGGAGGACAGGATTGGAGCAATGCCAAAAGGACTGGTCAGAAGCAAAATCCAGGGCTAGGAAAGCAGGATCCAAGAATTTAGAATAAAAAGGAGGAGGAAAGTGTAACACCCAGGACTACAAAGCAGAAGTCAGGATAAGCGATCAAGAATGGGTTCGAGCTAGAGCTGGTTCCAGCTCCATTCAGGCAAGTCTAAGGCAACTGTTGAGTTTTTTGTATACCTTATACGAGAGTAGTGGGGAAATTAAACTCCCTGGTCAGACCTTAAATCTCTGAAGAAACTGATAGGTGCCGTGTGATTGTAGCTGACTGCCAAAGCAGGGCTGGCAGAAGCTGACCAGGCTAGCAGAGCCTCAGTTGCCTTGAGGTAACCTGACAAGACGGACAGACGAAACCGATGATTATTGAGATGGCTAACTATGAATTAGTTGCAGGGCAGCTTGTCATCTTCATCTTCAGTTTTTATGCAGTATATAAACAAACAAATGTTCTCTCTACATATTTGTATATGGTATTTGTAAAACGACTTAAAATCTTTTGCTTTATGTAAATGTGATGTTGTTGTTGTAAGTATTTGTAAGTATTCAGTTTTATTTTTAATGGCATACTCTATTGGGCACCTTTAGGAAAAGATTCAAACACAATTAAACAATCTAATAACATTCATTCAAATGCTGTATGGTAACTAAGATTCACAGTGCCTTATGAGGTTGCAAACTTGAACCAGAAGCTCCAATTGAAATTACAGAAAATTTCATACAATTGCTGTACTCTGGCTGCTCAAAAGCTTTTGTCAGCTTGGAAAGGAAGTATTGAAAAAGTCTAGAATGGTTCCTTAATCTTATTGGGGTAGGACAATGAACAATAGTCTGAAACCATCTTCCCAACATTTTGATTAATTGAAGCATTGACCGGATTTAATTGCTCCTATGTAAATGCTAGCAAATAAAATCTGATGAGTAGACCATAAAAAAGAAAAAATGTTAATAAAACAGAAAGGCAGTTGGAAATCCCTGGTGATTCCAATTGCCTGGACAACAGCATGACTGTATAATCCAAGATGGAAGACTAGTAACAATAGATTAAAGTAATACAAAACACTTAAAAACTCTCTTTGAATTAGAAATTCCAATACAATTTCTTCTGAGAAATAAGTATCAGAGCAGCTGTGGTTTCATATAGCCTGTCAGCCATATAACGGCAGTTCACAAAGGGGTCAGAATGTTTGCAGACGTTGTTGTATTAGAAGGGAGAGCAAAAAAAAAAAAAAAAAAAGGCAGAGTTTAATCAACCTGTATTGTATGTGGGTACACTTCACCGCAGTGTTGACCTCCTGATTGTCCAAACCAGGGAAGCTGTGGGTGCAGAGGAGGCTCCCTTGCTGCCTCCGTGTCTACGTTTTCTTCTGAAGGAAATCAGAGTATACAGAGAGGTTTTTCACTCAGAACGGATGCAAACATACAGCTAGGATCCACCCTGGGGGACCACAAGTACCCTGCAGTAATTGTAACACAGCCAATGTTAGGTCTGACAGAAGAGGATGTGAAGGACAGCTGTGGACAGGGAGAGGAAATGGCAGCAGTCTTTCAGATAGGATAGGAGGATGGCACTTGGTAAATAAGGACCTTTTCAGTGTAATTGTTATCTTGTTATGCCGTTGGTAACTTAAAAAAAAAATCCGTGAAATTTGGAGGAAGAAGAACAGGGAATGTGATGCATGATATAATGCCTTTGGGCGTCTTTAGCCTCACAGAAAATGAAAAAAAGGTTTGCACAAAGAATGCAAAATTGTGCAAAATTGTGCAAAATGTTTTGCAGTCAAGCTGTGTGATATGCGATACTCGATACGGGAAATGGGATACTTTTTAAAAATCAGTACTCATACAATGGAAGTGGCATTTTACTTTGAGGCAGAGGGCAAAGGAGCACTTTGAAAACTGCCTTATATTGATCTGCAATTTCAGAAACAACTGTAAAACTAAAATACCGGCATGGCTTCTGTCAGACAAACACTATGTTTCATCTTCTGTGTTGTAGTCACTGAAACGCTACACACAATATACTTACAGTTATAATGTATATCTTAAAATAAAGTCAGATATGGTCAAAAAGGTAGGGGATGGAAATAATTGATGTAAGAACAGAACAGCCATTTAGATCAGACTTTATGGATGAGTTTGAAGTATTTGAGCTTTGTCCAAAAAAAGACAGACAATTTAGTTTCAGGTTCTAGGTGTTATTTTGGTAGGCAGTTAAGAGATGCTGGGAGTGCAATTAAGAAAACATACAAATACTTAGTGAGACTTTTAAAAAGAAATATTTTACGTTAAGACATTTGTATTTAATTAAAGGATCACGTAACTTCCTCTAAAACATTCTTCATTCCAAATCTGAAGTATCCTGAAATAATAAGGATCAAATAATATTTATTTATCATCTGGCCCAATCTCGAATACTTGGTGGGAAATACTCTTAGCTATGACAGAGAAAAAAGACAGCAGGTAATGGTCTCTTTCTCCCCTGATAGTTCAGGTATTACTTACTCTGAAGTTGCTATTGTTACTTTTGTAATTCCTTATCCTCACTGTACAGCAGTGGATTATTACTACTGTGCTAGTTGTTTTTAAAATAAAAATACAATAAGGCTATTTTATTTAGGAAAAGGTCTGATTTGATAGATGTCATACATTTCTACCCCAAATGTATTTTTAAGAAATGGGATTAGCTTACTGGTGTTGAAATAAAACTGACAAAACCAGAGGTTTTTGAGACTTCCTGTGTGCTGTAGGAACGATCTGTTAGATGGACTTTGTAGGAGTGGGGTGGTTTGCTGCTTCCTGTCACTTGGATGTGTTTCATTGAGAAGCTTCCTTTTCACTGGCTGCATGACAAGCTCGGTGTGGGATCTGCAGGTTGAGATCTGTTATTCTGTGAATTACCACAAGTAATTATCTATCCTCTAATTGGAATTTAATTAACAATTCCATCAATGATTTACATCTGAAACTACAGTCTATCTTATTTCCCTATAGTATAGCCACATTAGGTCTGCAGTGTTAACCCCACGTCTGCACTGAGGTCACTAGCCACTATATGTATGACAACTGCTCATACAAGCACATATGATTTAGCTATACATTAGCTCTATTGGGGACCAGTGGTAGTGCAGCCATGGCAGCATGAGGTTCTGCATGACATGCAAAACTTAAGTGAGAGCCTAAGCAAATACTGAGACACTGGCCTGAAGGGAGCTCTTGCTACTACCTTGCTATAGTGCCTGGTAGTAGCCCAGTGTGCTAGGCTGTACTTCCTAGTCTTGGTAGTATAAGGCTGAACTTAAGGCTAAACCGACTTTGTAAACACAAAGCTGACTTAAATAACAAGAATAGTATAGCCATAATATTTTGTTCAGCTCTAACTTGGATACCTCTGCACAACAGTGCTTTTTGTTGTATAGGCTTATCTCTGATCGCCAGTCACCTGCCAATTCAGTGTTTGGAGTATGCTGTCAACAAGCCAGAGTACTGTTGGCATCTTTAAACAGATGAGGCATTTGTATATTGTCAGTAGAAATTCTCTCTAAATCCTGTCCCTTCATTGCTGGGGCCTTTCAGACTTCCCAGCCCAACAGTTCAGCAAGAAGTGGCTTTGTTTGCACCGCTACAACATCACTTCCTCTTTTGATTCGATAACCTCATCTATCTGTTTACTTTTTTTTTAAAGTGTTAACGTTTGTCAGTTCTTGTAAATAGGATAGGCCCCCAGAGAGACACTTATTTTGTAGATAGCTTGAAGCAAATTCTGTCTCCTGTTCCATTTTTCTCTAACTAACGCAGCAATCTTGGGCAGGTCACTAAGTCTCCCTGCTTTGCTTTTGTGCACTGGTGAAATAGCTGTGGTAGGAAATACTCTACAGTGGTTTATATGTCTTTGCTAAGGCTTGTGAAACCTTTGGAAGAGCTGGAAGTTTTGTACAAGTTGCTCTGTGGATCAAAGTCTGGCGCTAATAACTTCAACCGAATAGCAGCAGAGTAAAACTACTATGAACCATAATAAATAATCTGTATTCCATGTCAGTTAAAAACTTCATTATAAAAATGCCAGGCAGTCCGGTGATACAGGCAGTTGAGATATCATTGGAGACTGATTCCAAAGCTGATTTGTGGTAGTGTCACTGACAGCATCTGAATCTTTGTCTCTCTGCTCTTATAGTATCGGTCAGGACGGGATCCTCAGCGAGGCTCAGACAATGTTTCCAATAAGTCTTCAGACAGCGATGTCAGTGATGTCTCAGCTGTGTCAAGGACAAGCAGTGCTTCGCGCTTCAGCAGCACAAGCTACATGTCCGTCCAATCAGAGCGACCAAGAGGAAACAAGAAAATAAGGTGAGCTTAACGCCAGCCATGGCTGCCTAACTTAAGTAACTGAACAATTTTCAATATCTGTGTTTGAAATGAGTGTTTTGCCTAAATTGAAATCTGCGGAAAATTTTCAGAATACTGATTTGAGTGTGTTCTGCATCTAATGCTTTTTGAATTCTTTATGCTGTTTGTTTTTAGCAAAGTTCGTCATCTTGAGTTATACTAGCATGGACTAGGATAAAAAACGTCTGCTGTCAGCAGGCACTAGATGCACTTTGATTTACATTTTCTGAAAACAGTTTTGTAAAATACTTAATATGGCTAAAAGGCCCATTTAACTTGCAATTTCTTGTCAACGAGGCGAGAGACATCTCTAACTGACTTTTTAAACTAGAGCTGTTGTACTTTTGCAGGAGTCTTATTTAATATTTAAACAGATACAGATATATATCCACTGTGAATTAATCTTTAACAAGATGTCTACGGAGCATCTGTGAGCAAAATGCTCCATCTCCTTTGCCTGCACCCTGCGTGCACTCAGAGGGACCTTGGGTTCAGAATAAATGAAAGATACTTTTTCTTGGAAGATGTAACACACCTGCATCTCTCAGAAAAATTTGATATCAGATCAAATTATTAATGCTCAGAAATTTGTCCTCTCAAGAGAAATGATGATTTTGAAAAATGATTTAAACATTTCTCTGTTTATATGAGCACTGTGAGGACCACATTATATTTATCTTACGGTTATGTATGATTTTGTATGGGATGTATTGCCATGCAACTCTTATTCAAAGAGGGTCTTAAAAGTCTGTCCTAATTTAAAGCTTTTCTAGTGTAGGCTGGAGATTCAGCCAGCATGCTTTAACTTATGACTACTTCTGTCTTTTAGTTTGTTTTCTTTTACATATTCTTTCATATGAGTTCATGCATGCTCTTCTCTCTGACCCTAACTTTACTTTGTTCTTTTCTTTTTTCCTTTTGCATGCCTTGTTCAATTTGTATTGACTTCAGAAGGACAAGGGATATAGAGGAAAAAAAAGAGGGAGGGCTGGAAGGGGATGAACAAGATGAGATATTTCCTGAGGAGGAGGAAAAAGAGGAGGAGGAAAAAGTGAAGGAGCAAGCAATTAATGAAAAAGGGGAAGGGCAAGAGGTGACAGAGAACTGTGATAAGAAGGAAATCAAAGGATCAGGGCATGAGGAAAAGACCCAAGAGGACCAAGCTGAGGAAGGGAAAGAGAATTTCAGGTAAAATATATTTCTGTTTTTGCAGAGCTATTCCTTTTCCTCCTGTACCTGGACCCTATTTGTCTTCCCTTTTTTTCCCTTTGCCTAGCTTGCTGCCTATGTTCTCTGCAGCCTCTTCTACCTTCAACCATGATACTTTTATGTTTAAACAAGTCTCACTCCAAGTGCAGTGAACTTGTTCTGCGTACTAAATAATGCAGCACACTTTACTCATTATTATGCATGCAACTACAGCATGTTATTTTTTAGATTGGTTTAGAATGGCGTTTGGGTTTGACTATATAAACAATAGAAATTGTAAGATACCTCTTAATATTCCCTGTTTGAATTGTTATTTCAGGGAAGAAATCTTTTGTTAAGTGATACGTCATCAATATCAAAGCCATCTGTACTCTTCATGTGTGGCAGTACTAAATAAGAGGAGTTGAATTGTTTTAATCCTCTTTGTGTAGGCTGATAAATGTGCATATTGAGTGACAATTTACATGGATAAGCAAAGTTTTTTTTTTTTTTCTACAATGTGAATAATATTGTGGGTTGCTGTATTGTGGAAGGGTTATGTACCTCTGCTGCTGTATTGTGTCCAGAAATATTTCAGCACAATTGGCTCTGATTTTATCAGCTAATATTCTAGATTTACACTTTTACCACAATTCCTTTTGAACCATGACTTTTATTGTTAATGTATGACATTTTGTATTGCAAAATCCATGTAATTCGCATTATGAGAAATACAGTATTCTTTTTTACTAGAAACAAGTGAGTTTGAGATTTGCTGAATATTCTTGAACCTCTTTTCACCATGTAAGAATAGGAAAAAAACCTGGAAAAATTTATTTTCTTTTAAGCTTCTAATGTTAGACTACCTATAGATAACTTATGCCTATGAAACTGTGCTAATATATACTAGGGTAAGCACAGAGCACTCTACTGTATCAGAGACTGCATTCCACTTTCTTCCCTTGCTACATACATATGTGTGTACATGCCTGTACATATACTAAGACACACACACACACACACACACACACACACACACGTTCTTTCTAAATGGAGATACAAAAACCAGTTCACCTGCAGTGAGAAGGAGAAAAGGGAATTCTTAAAGCAGTTCTCAGAGTGGTAGGAAAAAAAAAGAGTCAAAATGTGTGGTGTTCAGGTTGGGGCAGCATGGGCCAATATAGTCGTACTACCACTTCTGTATATTGTTGTTGTCATTCCTGCACTCATGTGAGTGCATTTTAGAATTCAGGAAGCCAGCGGTTTATAAAGAGCTGTCTTTAAGATTGCCTTGCATACTTGCTCCAGGAACTTTTAAAGGGTACTGCGGGAAAGGATGTTTTGAAGACTCTTTTCTCTCCAGGATCCCAGTAAGTTCCCAGTTTCATGGGATCTGGAAGTCCTGCCTCTCAAAAAGCAGGACCTATTTCTGGTTTCCAGCATTCACTCAGGTTAGTCTTCAGTCAAAAATGTTACCCCTTATAGAAACTAAAGTCCTCCTTAAGATGCAACTTCTTACTCCCCCTTCCAGTTTACCCTTCTGCTTTTTAGCTGCTCTCTGCCTACAGGAATAAAGGAAGTCAGGAGTCCCTACTTGCTAGAGAAACAAGATATTACTTAGTGGCTCTTTTGCAGTGACTTTGTATAAAATTTCTGCCCCTGCCATGAAAAATCTGTCCCTTGCCTGCTTTGCCCACTTTTGGTATAAAAGTTGTGAATAAAAAGAAAAGTTACTCTGTATCCACCTTCCTTTCCCATAGTGCAGTAAGTGCTCATATTTTCAGTATTTTCTAAGCAGTCTCCTAGCTGAAGACTCCTAGCAATCTCCTAGGAAGCAAGCTGAAAAGGACACAGACGGAGATACATGTATCCATAGTTGTGTATCATTAGCATACTGAAGTAATTCCCCTTGAAGATTAGTAGTAATCCTGTCATCATGACTTGTGTAAGGGGTAGACAAAACAGAAGGTAGAATAAGTCGTAAGAATGGATGTTAATCCAGTTCCTTCTGATGGCATGTTCTGTAACTTTTAAGATGCCCAGATTTTCCTTAGAAGTTTGTCTTTTTAGTATTTATTACATAAAATGATTATTTTATTAGCCCTTATAAAACTTCATATATGTGCTCAGCTGCATATACACCTGTAGTTTTTACTGAAGTCTTAATGAAATTAGTGAATACACTGCATTAACTTTTGGAGTACTGGAGCACAAAAAGTTGATAAATCTTCTTGGCAGAAATAGCTGTAGAGTCAGATTTTGCATTCATTAAACGTTGTAAAACTAAAAATTGGCATATAGTTGATGCGCAGCTAAAAGCATGGATCAGGCTTTCCTGATATAAGTTTTAAGGATTCCTTACGTACAGTTGTTTTGTGACAATGCTGCTAAGTATTTTGCTTGACTGGAAGATATTATTTCTTATTCAACGTACTTTTAATCTGTTAGCTAAATAATTCCCTGATGATATTAGGGACAAGAGGAACCCTCTTAGACCTAATGTGTGAGCATTCATAATTTTTATTGCAAGAAGTCTATATCAGACTGATCTAAATCTTAACCTTTCTTAACGTTTTCCTAAATATCAGTCCAATATATTAATTCTGAAAATCATGATAGTTTTGTGATATCATATCAATATATAGCAACTGTAGTCATGAACCTGGGTTTCACTGTCTCGGACAGTGCTCAAATACATAAAAAAATAGAACCTCTTTTCCAAACACGAACAGTCCAAATAGTGAGATAACATTGCTCCAGAGGAGGGAATGTGGGAGAATTAAATGATGCTCCACATGACAGGAGATAGTTACAATAAAGGCTTGAGGGCATCTTGACAATGAAGAGTACGAAGGGGAAACTTGAGGAAGGAAAATAAGATAGCTTTCTGAATGCTTCTGAAGAGCTCTTTTCAAGCATTTGAAACATTGGGGAGAAAACATGATTAGAAAATACAATAAGTGAATGATAGGGCAAGCCTGATCAGGAGCAGGAGCTAAATGAGAAAAGATAAATGTGATAAGGAGCAGTGATTACAGCACTAGAAAATAAAGACAAGCAACGTATGTTCAACGGGGTAAAGAAAAATGATATCTTTGTACTGAGATACAATTGAAAGGCTATGAAATTTATCTTTCCTACAGTATTCTGAATGGGGATAGGTTAGGTAGGTTGTGCTCTAGAGGACCCTGCTTGAGCAGGGAGGTTGGACTAGATGATCTCCAGAGGTCCCTTCCAACCTAAACGATTCTGTGATTCTGTGATTCTGTGATTCTGTTAGGGCTGGAGAAAAGCACTATGATAACTGGCATATGAAATGATGAGAAAGTGAACAAAACATTTAGGTGCATGGATGGACAGAGAGGTTAGATGTGAAATAGAAACTTTGTGCAAGACATAAGTTTGTGGACCTAATGTAAAGCCTGAGTTAAAAGTCCTACCCATGTAACAGCCACGAACAATTTGCATGTCCGACATCACTGGGAGAAGAAGCAGAGGAGAGGTCTTGGAGGGAAAAATGGAGGTCAGCAGTACTGAGCTGAAATTGGTGATTCACAGGGAGGTGCCAAAGAAAGGTTGCCATGTAGCCAGAAGACTGGAGGGGAGAGAAGAGGGAGTTCTGTGAACTATTAGTGCAGAAGGGATAATATTTTGATGTACTGTTGCTGAAGGTATGTTGGTTTCAGGGATACCGATGATATCAACCCTGTAGGACCCTCACAGGGCAGAAAATGAGAATCTACTAGAGATGTGTTGAATGAATGATTAGAGGA